GGAAGTGCAAGAGGAAATGTTTGACAACAAAGGCCCGAAACTTGAGATGCATGCCGAGGGTGCGATTAAAAGGATAGGGTTTTGGAATTGCATGGTAACATGTCTGGCCTTAGGCCTGTCATTATGGGGTGTCGAGGACGTTCTGAAAGGAATGAGACAGGCAGCTTTTAGAAGGGATGATAACTTGCGCCACAGTCCAGGAGGCAGCTCGCTCGGGCCAGCTGAATATAAGGCTGTCAAACTTAACAGTTTCGCGAAGGTAATCTGACTCTGAACGTCGCTTCAAGGCAAGCAAACTATGGGCGCTTGTACCATTGATGCTGGTCTCTTGACTGGTTGACCGAAAAAATTGTGACCTGACTTTGACAGGTTACGTTTGCTATTTTGCTTTTTAATGCGAGCTGTCAGAGAATAGTTGGAGCATAAAACTGTCAAACCATTTAACCAGTAAAATTACAAATTACTATGTTTAGAACTAATTGACTCGAACTAATACTAGTAATTATTTGTGCTGAATGTGGCACTTTAAAAAGGAGCTACAACGTACCAGTGAATTTGTGAGTGAAATAGGATTTAATACAAAAATTTTTTAAAAAAGAACGAAAACTTGAGGTGCATCAATCGCATTCCCTTAGTGTAGATAGAATCTATATCTAACTGAAGTCAACCATAAACGCTACTTATTTTTGGTCCTTATAATTTTTTAGAATGAGAATGTTTTGATATTCTTACTATTTCCAAGTCTAATAATTCATTCTGCGAGCCATTTTGGCACATATTTCCCCGCTCTGTGATGAGATCCATGAGACAAAACCCAAAGTACAGGCAAACAAACCGAGGGAAGAAGATATGAAGTCCAAGATGTTGTGGCCTCTGGTATGGTTGCAGTTTCCTTTAGATTTATAGGAGTGAGTTGACCTCGTTGTCGCAACTCTGTCTTGTTGTCAGGGCGACTTAGTAGAACGCACCTAGTCCGAAGTCGTCTGCCATAGTAGTTGTCATGA